ATTCCACCCTCCCCTTTCCTACAAGGAAAAAACTAGAGTCAAATGAAAATCCAGAGCAAAATAGATACAGATGTTCCACCATAGAGTACACAGTCACTTCTCAGGGCTGGTGGGACCTGAGCCTGTTTCAAAATGGCTTTGCTAGAGGCCTTTTCACCTTAATAGCACCCAAGGCCCTCCTAAGTTTCCTGAAGCATCTGAGCTCAATAGACAAAGAACAATGGGACCAGAACTCCGTTCCACTGAAGGTGGTTAGACTGGCTGAAAACAAGAGATCCACCACCCAGCTTCTCTCCTATCCTGTGTCTCAACAACTCTTCTGTCTGCGTTTTCCTGTCAATTCCAGAAACTTCATTTAACTATGGTCTATGATGAAGCATGGGCTAATCATGGTCTAAACCAACACGAAGTGGTGAAATTGGTGAAACTTAGATGATGCTTCTCCAAAGCTTGAACCCGATCACAACATGTAATGCCTAACTTTCTCCCAGCGTAAGTCACACGATTAAATTAAACAGGGGAGAATTCTTCTACCACATCATACACTAATGGCACTTAACCTGTAATTAGGTATCACCAACAACAGCTTAAAGCTGCAGCCAACCACGAGCACATTTATAGTTGTTGGTAGGTGCTGAGTGGATTTCAACTCCTAGAACCCCAGGTGACAGCAGAACTGCCTCACAGCGCTTTCTCATCTGTACCGGAGCAGATTGCCAGAGTCATTGGCTGGGTTAGAATCTCCAACCTTACCATTAGCAGCCGAGAGCTTAACTGTTGAGCTGCCAGGGCTCCCCCACATTTATAAGAACGTAGCTTTTTCAGCACCACGTAATTAGGGGACTAGAACTGGCCGCCATCTTGTAAAAAGCCAATGCTCTAACCTAATCTTTGTTTGCCGATTCATTTTGTTAAACTGACATCTGTCTACACAGGGCCACCTCCTCTGCATAGTCAGCAGACTTAAGTGCCAGCCAGGGTGGTCACCTTGGCCAGTTGGCCCTCAGTCCTGAAAATCACTACAGCCTCAGAACTAGACCAGTGATGGCTTACGGGAACAGAGACTCCTGGCTAATCTAAGGCCTCACCCCTAAACTTGGGGTTACATACGGCATGGTAGGTACCTAACATCCAGGAACTCAGAATGAGTTAAGGAGACAAGACATACAATTGTTTGGAGAGGTATTATGGGATAATAGATTCACAGAACATTCAAAACCACTGGGCTTCAACCTCAATTCAATTCTGCACAAACTTCTGAATAAGCTTAGACAAAACAATTTATCTCTCTGAACACTTCAGTTTCCTTGGCAAAAACAAGGCAAATGTACCAAATGATGTCTAGGGATCTTTATAGGCGTATCTGGGTGGTGCAAACAGATAACAGCAAATGGTAACCCATTCGAGTCCACCCAGAATGCCACAGAAGAAATGCTTGCTGATTGACTTTTTTTTAAATCGACCACAGAAAACCCTATGGAGCACACTTCTACTCTTGACACCCGTGGGGTCGCCATGAGTAAGAATCCATGGCAGCTCATTTTAAAGCCCCATATGGCTCTACAATAATTAGAGTATTCTAAACCAAACCAAGGAGTCCTGGTTTGGCGCTGTAGGTTAAAGCACTGGACCACAAGGTCAGCAGTTCAAACTCACCAGCCACTCCTTGTGAACTCTAGATAGAGCAGACTCTGTGGTACTTAACAACAACAACAACAACAACAAACCAAACAGAACCAAACCCACTGCCATGGAGTTAATTCCCACTCCCAGGGGCCCTGTAAGACAGAGAACTACACCAGGGTTTCCAGCCTGTCCATCTCTACAGAGGCAGACTGCCATGTCTTTCCCGCAGAGTCGCTGGTGGGTTCCAAACACCAACTTTTAGGTTTGCAGATGAGTGTTTTAACACCTGTGCCACCAGGGTTCCATAGTGGATACAAGAAAGTATATAACTGAGTGCCAAATTATTAGTTCTGTCTACAACAATCCCTGGAAAAGATTTTACTGATGTTTCTGAGTCAGCCATTCATTTCAAACAATTTCCGAGGAGTCCAGCCAGGCACTGTGCAGACAATTCAGGGATGTAGCATGGAAGCAGATGGAAAGCCTGCCTTCATGGGGCTGACATTCTAAGTAGTGGAGTATTTGCAGGAGACCCACCAGGGGAAAAGGATGGTAGGACTGGTCTAGGCCCTCTTCATGGGGGTGAAGGCAAAATTGAGCTTTAAGTAAGTTTGGTTGCACACAGGGAGGTGTAAGGAATGATGTAGCAGTTAGCATTGTCAACATAAACCAAGCGGTCTGGGAACAGATGCATTAACACAAACACAACCAGCTCACTTGTAGATCATTAGTGAAGACAATTAGTTTGCAGAAGTTATCCAGATTTAGATTCCTCCAGCTCTTTGCCAATCTTCTTCTCCTGCCCCAGCAGTCCAATTCCCAAATCTGCTATTTGTGGATACTTTTTCCCCCTTTATTTTCTGTTCAATTATGCTTGTAGACAACTAGGGCTAAAGACAGGTGCCAGGGTGCAGTTACTACTACCAAGTGCAGAGAATTCATACCTAAATTACTTCTTTGTTGTTAGGTGCCCTTGAGTCGGCTCCTACCTTGTATAGGGTTTCCAAGGAGCAGCTGGTGGGTATGCACTGCTGACCTTGAAGGTCAAATCACTTACAGTCCACTCTAAAGTGATACATGCTGTGCATGTATTGGCTAGAGAAGTTGAGAATAAAACAGTGTAGACGTGTTTATTTTGTGGAGCAGACCTGTCTTATCCTACTAAAGAATGTGGTATAACTTATCTAGATAACTCAGTAGAAATAATTAATCACCAAAGCCTTCATTCTTTAAACTAATAATTCTTATAAAATAAAAATCCCAAGTAAATCACCATTCAATTCACAATAAAAAGTTTTTTTTAATAAAGATCTCTAAGATGTATGCCTTTTTCACAAGCCCCTTTTGGGTTGAGAGCAGATGTGTTGTACAGTGTGCATGCTGAGAAAACCCACAGGGACACAAATAACCACTATAATATTGCTGTGCTTTTCTTCATTTCCTGAGTCTTTATTTTGGTGTTAAAATAATGTTAACTTTCATAATACGGAAAATAATAGCAGATGTTTAAACCAAACTCATTACACAGCACACAGTATCCCAAATATCTAACTCAATTTTCAAAATCAAAGTTTCTTCCTCCCAGATAAGCAGTCAGACTAGAAGAAAACTACCTGCATGTATGTTACATACTACAGAGCTATAAACCAAGGAAGACACACTTCCCCTAAACTCTTCTGGAGACATAAAAAAATTAATCTGGTATAAATTTCCTAACAATTCCTATATCCATTACTCTCATAGGCTGATCATTATAGCTTGTTTTTAAATTGCTATTTTAACATATCATACTACTAATGCCTTAGATGTTTTTAATTTCTTGCTCACTAAAAAAGTGTTCCGTTTTTAAAACTGATTAACTTCACAGGAAGTGCACCTCTCTCCTGCTTTCACCATTCTCTAGGTCCGCCTTTTAATGAGCCCAGAAAACAAGATGATACTTACAGCAGCAGATTCAAGGAAGGCAACTCACTGCAATTCTCATAACTAGAATAAGCAGGAATACCAAAAAATCCCCATTAAAAAAAATAAATAAACCCTTAAACAGTCTTATCTACACAGTTAAATAAAAACAACTCGAATGAGATTGTTTTGTTTTTTGTTTTTATCCCTGAGAAGGAAAAGGTAAGTTTTCAACTGAACAGAAAACAGGCTTGAGATTGTTACAAGAAAAATGCAAGTGAATCAGCTCACTCACTCTTCCAAGTTTCTTCCGTTTTCTTTTTCAAGAGAAATGCTCCTTTTTTTCCCTATAGGCAAAAACATGGAAAGTGCTCCTGCAGAATCAGAAAGCTGTTTCCAGGATTTGTATGTGGTTACAACAAAACACACACACACCCTGCCAAACCTGAGCTCTGCCCAGGGGCCTCCTGTCCACTCCAATCCAGGCCATTACCACTTTTTAAGATTGCACGTAGTGTCCAGAAGATCAAGAAATCTCTTTTTCTCTTATTCTTACTACCAGAGACAGCTTGAAATGCTGTTAGACAGGAGAAAACACCTTATGGTTGTTTCTGTTATTGTTAAGTACCGTCGAGTCGGTTCCGACTCATAGTGACTCCGTACAGGGTTTCCAAGGAGTACCTGGTGAGTTTGAACCATCAACCTTGCAGTCCAAAGCATTAACCCACATGTTTAGTGGACGATAATAAACAATGAGAATTCAAAGCTCCCCCTTTTAATTGAGCTTTCTGGTTGGGGTGTTGTGTAATTATTTCCACAAGGGATTGGAGTGTGGAGCAAATATCCTTCAATGTCAGAACTCTCTCTGAGCTGCACAGGAAATGGCAAATCAAACAAAGGGCCAGTCTGTGCTCTGTAACTCTGCTGCCCTTCCAGTCTCTCAAACCGAATTCAAACATGCTTCATTGTTGGGGACAATTGCTGCCTACAACAAAAACTCACTGTAACTTTTTGTTCTCCTCTACACGAAACCTCCCAGTAAAGTCTGAACACCACACCAACACTGTACATGGTGGTATGTTTAATGTAAGTGTCCAAACACCCACAAACACACACACACACAAATAAAAACCTCACACGTTTAACTTCTACGTGGGTCCGAGAAGTTCTTCCTCTAAAGAAAACGCCAACGGAAACAAAAAAGAAATACTTTAAGAACTAAAAATGTAAAGAGTAAGTCATAAAGAAAGCAAACTTTTTTTTACCAGTTTCTATTCCACCGCGCTCACTATCATCATTGCTGAAGTCTACCATACAAACAACAAACTCCGTGGTGAAAGAATAAATAAGAAACTCTTGCCTTTCACACACCCCAGAGTCCCAAGAAAAAGCACAAAATGCCCAGAAGGTGATTAGACCACTGAGGAGGAGGGAGTGGTATTTATTAAAGCGTCTGGGACACAGCATCTTACCTTCGTAGCACAGAATGCCGATGTTGTTGTTCATCTTGTCCAAATACTGATAGTTCAACAGGTCCATCTTCATAAATAGCATTTATTGGGCTAGCAAAGAAAACCAGCTCTTCGCCTTTGTCCCCAAATAGTAAGTTTCAAGGGGAAAAAACAAAAAAAAGCAATGATTGCTGTTGGCTCTTGGCTCTTCTCTTAACTTCACAAAGACAGGCCCGAGCTCAGAAGATCAAAACAAAGTAAGTTAAAGTAAAAAAGGAACACACACACAAAACCTAACGCACACAAAACCCTTCCCGGGTTTCTTTGTAGACGATATTAAAAGTGTTGTATCCTCGACAGAGCATGAAAAAGTAGTTTCAGAAGTAGCTGCAAGTCTTGCTTCGGGATAAAAAAGGGTCAAAGAAGGCAAACATGAAGCACATTTCTAGGACAAAGACGCGCTAGCGTAGCTCACAGCCCGCTGCAAGTCCGCTGCGCTGACATGCTGGCTATGCGAGGTATGACTCCTATGTAAACCAGCTTCCTCTTCCCTGCAGGAGGGGCGCGCGCAGGCGCACTGGGCCTCCAGCGCTTCCAATGTCACAGATACTTTCTGCACAGCATCAGCCCCTGAATGCATGGAGTGTTGGAAAGAAAGGCAGAGAAGGGGGTCTACACAGAAGGGCTCCTCGCTGCTTGCTCTATCACTGCACGGCTCGCCCCGGGAGGGGGAAAACCAATCAAGCTTCTTGCAGGAGTGGAGTTAAAAGTTTTGGGGTTTTTTAAAAAGAAAATCATGGAAACAAACTTCCACAGACTTTAAATTTAACTTCTGTGTAACTTCACTCAAAGAGTTTTGCTATGGAGTGTGTGTGTGTGTGTATGTGTTTTATCATCTATATAGATATTCTTAGCTTTTTTTTACCCTGTTAAAAATTGTCTTATAATGTCCAGTTATATTTTTAACTGTATATTAGAATGTTTGGCATTAGTATTTTATATCACTTCTCATAAAATCCTCATAACAGCTCAGATGGACTAGGCAGGGAAACTGCAGAGGAAACTGGGCTGAGAGAGAGAAAATGACTGAGCACAGCCCCCAGAACAGAAGGTAGAACTATTTTTAGGGCATTATTTTTCTTTGGTGTTATATATGTTATTAGTCTTGGTGTGGCATTGTAGGGTACGCACAAGGTTGGTTTGAACCAAAATGTCACCAGTTCAATCTCACTAGCCACTCCTTGGAAACCCTATACTGGGTGGATATGAGTCAGAACTGAGTCGATGGTGATGCTACTTAACAACAACAATTATGCACACACAAAGGAGCCTTGCTGGCACAGTGGGCTTAGATTTGGCTACTAACCACAAAGTCGGCAGTTCAAACCCAGCAGCTACTGTAGAAAAAGGAAGTTGTCTCTTCTAGTAAAGATTGATAGTCTTGGAAACACTAAGAAGCAGTTCTAATCTACCCTGTATGATGGCTATGAGTTGGAATTAACTTGACTAGGAGCTCTGGTAGCGTAGTGGTTAGGAATCGGGCTGCGAACCTTAAGGTCAGCGGTTTGAAACTACCAGCTGCTCCACGGGAGAAAGATGAGGCTTTCTACTCCCGTAAAGATTTACACCCTCGGAAACCCTGTACAGGGTCGCTATGGGTCG